AGGCGACCTATTTATCAAATAAGCAGCAGTTAAAACAGCCTCACCCCAAAACTTTTTTGAAAGACCCGAACTAGACAACATACACTTCACCCTTTCAAGTAAAGTTCTATTTATTCACTCAGCAACAACGTTTTGTTGAGGGGTGTAAGGCACATTTTTATGCCTTTGAATACCAGATTGAGCTCATAATTCATCAAACAAATTATTGCAAAATTCAAGCCCATTACCAGTCCTAAGAATTTTAATCTTTTTACCGGCTTGGTTTTCAATCAAGGTTTTCCAAGTCTTAAACGTTTCAAACACATCAGACTTATTTTTCAACAGGAACACAAAGACCTTCCTAGAAAAATTATCAATCACAAACAGGAAATACCTACTCCCGTCATGTGTCGAAACACTAGCGGGACCCCAAACATCGGCATACAAATATTCAAGAATTTATGAACACATAGAGGGTTTAGGGGAAGGTGAAACAGGAAATTTAACACGTTGTTGCTTGCCAAGTACACAAGAATCACAAAACGGCACACGAGATAATTTATCTTTACCAAAACAGCCCGCTTTATGCAAAATTTCAAGACCACGACTACTCATATGACCTAAACGTCTATGTCAAATATCATTTTGGTCCTCATGAACAGCATTCACAGAAATTTCAGTATGTGACTCACAAGTAGCAGTGCAAACATACAAGTTTTTCCTTTTTTCAGCTTTGAAAATAACTAATGAACCTTTCATAATTTTCATAATCCCTTTACCCCATTTACCCTCTAACCCGTCATCCTCAAGGGCAGCACAAGATATCAAGTTATGGCACAAGTCGGGAACATGACAAACATTTTTCAAACAAAACACATAACCAGAATTAAACTTAAGGCACACATCACCAATACCAGCAACATCACAAAACTTTTCATTTGCCATTGAAACAGAGCCATTTTTAACCTCTTTGTAGTCAGAAAATAAATTTCTAAATGGAGACATGTGAAAAGTGTAACCGGAATCAACAAGCCATTCATTTTCACAGAGATAAGAATGCATAGAATTCACACCGGCATGCATATCACATATTTCAGTCACCACAAACACATCACCAAGATTATCACTACACGAGGCCACATTAGCTTGTTTTTTTTGGATTTAGTGCACTCTTTAGCATAATGCCCTACATCACCACAATTATAACACTTACGATTTTTCGGACGGGATTTAGAACGACTTTTTCCTTTACCCTTTTTCTTTTCAGCAGGTTGGTTACCATTATTATTAGAGGGCTTTTGATTTTGAAATCTATTTTGTTGCCTCCCTCTAACAAAAAGAACCTCACCCGAATTTCTACCCCCTTATGCGCTTTTAAATCTAACTCTTTACTTTTTAACCCATTCACAACAGTGTCAAGCGTCACATTGTCCCTATCATACTTAATAGCAGACTTGACATCACTATAAGAATCAGGAATAACATTTAAAAGCACAATAGGAGTATAATCATCAATATGCTTATCACCGGTCAATTTAATGTCCTGAACAAGTTTAGTAAACACATCAAGATTCTCATCAATGTCTTTCGAAAGATTAAGTTTAAACCAGAAAAATTTTTCAAGCAAGAACAATTTACTCGGCAACGATGTTTCAGTTTACAATTTTTCCAATTTTTCCCTTAGATATATAGCAGAATCAAGTTTACCAACTTTTCTAAGCACAGAGTCAGACAAGTTGAAGATAATTGACGAATAAGCAAATTGATCCATCTCAACAAATTTATCTTTAGGCTCATCGGGTGAAAACGAGCCTTCAACGGCTTTAAACACCCTCTGTTGAAATAAAATCCCTTTCATTTTTTGTTGCCAAATTGAAAAATCAGAATTCCCGTCAAACGGGGCCAAACTAAAAGCTGGAAACGAAGCCATTTTCACAGAAAACACAACAGTTTCTATTTAAAAACAACAACACAAAATACAACAATTAAAACACACAGAGTACAACCTAAAATCAGATTTTTCATCACTTAAACACACAATTATCAGCACAATGCACAACAACAACTTGGCATAAATTCACAGGAAATTAATAAACAACCAGCAGCATAAAACGAGACACACAGACTAAAAAAAAAATAGCAGAAATTCAGCACGAAACAAATTCACCGAAATTAAGCAATCAAAGCAGCAAAAAAAATACATAATTTAATGCTACTAACAATGAAAATAGCCACAGGCTCAGAACAACAAGGATAAGCACATTTTACGCATAACATGCGCGTCTAACCTAGTATTCTAGCAGCTAGTTCCCAACAGACAATCCCCGGCCAGGGGCTACAACTACGAAAGCTGTAAAAGTTAAGTCCAAGCCAATATACCTGAGCGAGCTCTACGTGTTAGGTGCTCGACTTACCTATACAGTGGCGGGACGGCTCACGCTCTGATACCACTGTTATGTGGCCGTCTCGATTCCACCGATCGACTCATTGGCAGCGGAAGCTTTGTCTTTTGGCTCATCTGACCGCAACACGCCTTCTCGAGCCCGACAAAGGTGTTGCTCGTGTCACAGGAGTTCCCGGACAGCCTTCTTTTGTCCCGGGCTAGTGCTAGTCGTCTCTTTCGGGCCCGTTTTCAACCAGTTTCCACCTACAATCAAATACACACAGTAATGATTAGGCAAAGACAACAAACAAAAGGGACTCAGATAAATAAAAGAAGCTGAAATGGAAACAAAAGAGAAGAAACAAATCCCCCCTTTATCTCGTCGGAATCCGTTCGTAATTAGGACATGAAGTCCGGCTCAGATTTCCCTTGAACCCAGAACCCTCGATGAGTATCGGCTCGGCAGTGGTCAACGAACGGTGGCCCCAGTTCCTCAGCCCGTTCCCCGGGCTGCACCTCACACACGAGCCACGCACCCGGTCTCCCCGTCACCTAAGCTCAGGTCTCAAACAGAGGCGGTAAGACGGTGGCACTCCGACGACTCTCAGCTCTCACACACTCCACTCTAAAGGTCACGAAGAACAAAGAGATTTTTCACTCGCAGAGAGAGAAAGGATAAGCGCAGCAGCGAGAGAGAGAGAAGTGAGATCTGTTCTAATTAGGGCAAGAGTGAGGAGAGGGCTTATATGGTGTGAAATGGAGGGCTGGGATTTAATCCCTAAATCCAAGGGTCCAAATTAATCTGCCATTTCTGTGTGTAAGTGGGCCAAGCCTAGACAGGAATTGGGCCGAGACTTCCTTGGGCCTGAGATAGGTATTGGACTGGGCCAAATTTCCAACACCACCAGTGATTGAAAATATAGATAATTGATTGCTACTCGACGACCTCATATTCTCGTAAGATTATAATTGGGTAATTGTTATCTAATTTTCTGGTTCATTTCAATCTACTTGACTCATTTTTTATTTTCTACCATTTGATCAAAACATACAACAAACCTATAAATGTGTATGTTGATTTATATGAAATAGTTTAAATATGACTTATAGTAATCTAAAGTGGCTAGAGGGTTCCCTTCGGGCGGCTCTACTTCTCCGATGGGCCCTGAAGGGGCTTTTCGTTTCGGTCGCCGGCGGACTGTGGTGATGGCCGGTCGGAGGGTCTGCAGGTGGGGTGGGGCTCCGGAGGCTGTGGTGTCTCTTGTCGGAGTAGCCGGAGCTGTGGGACTGTGCCGCTCTCTTTCTCCCCCCGGCTCTCTGGTGTTGGGGTCGGGTGGGTTCCAGAGCAACCGAGTTTAGCTAGTGGTGTTAGATAAATTCGGGTTGTGAAGGCGGGAGTTGGTGTTGCTTCCCTCGATTGGGGGTGGATCATTCTGGGGATAGGGTTCGACTGCTTGTATAGGAGTTTTCGCAGTTTCGGTAGTAGTGCCTGGGCTCGAGATTTTCCTTGGATTGATTGATCTCTGCAGGCTGACTTCGTTGGCCGGTTGGGGAAGGGCTTGAATGTAGTAGTTTAGTTTTTTATTTCCTGTGTTTCGATCGTGTGTTGCTTAGGAATCGTGTTTTGGTTTGGGTTGTTGCCTCGGTGTTTTTTATGTTTTGTATTTTTGGTTTGGGCCATTGGCCCCTGTGAGCTCGAGTGTCAAACTTATTACTCCGTTGGGGTCCGACACTAGGGTATTACTCTCTTGGGGTCCTTGTAGTTGTTTTAATTGTTTGTGTTGTTGGTTAGTTTAGTTGTGAGTGTGTTTTTTATCCTAGCGTTGCTAGTCGGGATTCTATGCGGGCTTCTGACCTGTCCTCCCACTTTTTCAGTTGTTGACTGCTGTGTATTCAGCCGTTGGCTGCTGTGTATTCCCACATTTGTGCATTTTGATTTATATTTTCTATCGTTTCGGGAAGAAAAAAAACTCAACTATAAAGTAGTTATCTGATACTTCCTCTGTTTCGTTTTAAATGTCGTTGTAGGGTGTCAACCTTTTTGCAAATTAATTGTCGTTGGAAATATTATATTCATTCTTACATCTTTATTCTCTTTAACAAACATTATCTCTTATCATTATCTTTAAAAACCACCCATTAATAAATCAAAAACTAAATTTAATAAGATTAAAAAATAAGATTATTACACAACCCATTAAAATCGTAATTTAGAAGTTTTAAATTAAAACGACATTTAATAAGAAACGGAGGGAGTATAAATTATAAAAAAAGTTATAATATAAGAATAATAAATCGTGTAAGTGATAGTGTCATTTTAAATTTAAACAATAATATATTTTTTCAAAATAATTTAAAAATTAAATCAATTTTTATTGTTATAATTATTTAATTTTAAATATAATTATTTCAATTTTAACAAGTACCCGTGTAGTATACGGTATTGTACGAGAGGGATTTAGAAGGGCACATATGAAGTTGTGCGCTATATATACACGTTTCCCTTTTCAATTGAACCCTAATTCGGTCGTTCTTTCGCGAGAAGCCATCGCACTTCCCCATCTGCCGGAATTGGCACTCCCGTCGTGTTCACGTCGACCTTGGAGATCGTCCTCTAGCAGTCCTCCGCCGTCCGCCTCTGCCTCCGCCGTCCGCCTCTGCCTCCGCCGTCCGCCTCTGCCTCCGCCGTCCGCCTTTGTCTCCGCCGTCCACCTCGTCCTCCGCCGTTCGCCTCTGCTTCAGATCGCAAAAATTTCGAGTTGGTTTTTTCTTCCTTAAGGTGCGATTTGGTTTATAATTTTTAGATCTCGGTTTTCGATTTTTTGCAGTTCCTATTTATAAGTAGGATTAATGATGACGATGATGATGGTGATGATAAACAAAAAGTTTTTAAATACTTCTAATAGGACAATATGAGATGATTTCTTTCCTTTATTTATGTTATTATTAGGTTTTGATGGTCTCCATTATTGTTAATGTGGAGATAACTTGATGGTTTCTATTATGGTTATTGTGGAGATAAAGTGATGGGGAAAACTTTGGATACTTGAATGGGTTGGTTCATACATGAGATAAAGTGATGACAAAAGCTTTGGATGTTTGAATGAGTTGGTTCATAGATGAGATAAAGTGATGAGAAGAGCTTAATGTGGAGATAATTTGATGGATTCTATTATGGTTATTGTGGAGGTAAAGTGATGAGAAAAGCTTAATGTTGAGATAATTTGATGGCTTCTATTATGGTTATATTGGAGATTAAGTGAGCTTTGGATGCTCAAATGAGTTGGTTCATACATCATAAAAAGTGATGAGAAAAGCTTTGGATGCTTAATTGAGTTGGGTTCATATATGGATTCATGGATTTTTATGAAATTCTACTTTGACTCTATCCAACAACAAATTGGAATTTATGATGTTTGCTACATGAAGAGAGTGCGTGCTTGGCTATGTGGTGTACCACAACTATGGTAGGAGCTTTATTTCTACCACATGTTGTGGCTCGTGGCTTTATATGCGCACTACTAGACTACTAACTTGTTGATGTAATTGAAGATATATATCCTATGCGGTGAGCATACTATACATGCGGTGGTTATGTAAATGATTGATTAAGAAATCTAATCACATGGTTAGTGAACACCGCATTATATGCTCATGAAATGAAGGCAAATGAGCATTTTCATAACACTTATAGGACAACATTAAAGTAGTTGTCTATGAAATTTGGGAATGTGGACACTTGGTGCATTGGATATATTGTTTGCATGGAAAATGTGATATATGTTTTCGAACTGGTACACTTATTTCTAATTTATGAATGATTGTTTGATATTATATCTTCTATGCTTTGTCATGTCAATTATCTTACTTGGTGGTGGCAAAGGTAGAATAAGACGAACTTCTTAAGAATTTTTTGAATGAATGCTTAAGATGATATTTTAAGCATTTATATTGCCTTTTATCTCCGGAATTTGCTACAAACATCATTTGTACTTGGGCTTGAAGGATAACCCCGTCACATATTTAATGCTAATTACGTGCTTTGTGATGGATATGATTAAGTTTGAGTTTATATCTTCTACATCGAGAACTTGTCATCCACTAATTAGGCATGATTTCTTTATAAATCGAAGGGGGTGAATTTGAAAATGCTAATTTTGTTTATGCGTTTTTTTAATGTTTCAATCATTGTTTTTTGTCATACTAACTTCGTCATTAAAAAAATTGTTGTGATACTATTTATAATGTAAGATTTTATTTTATATTTATTTAATTGATATCTTTTTATAATATTAATTAATCTAAGAATGAAGTTAAAGTTTTTACTTTCTCAATGTTTGTGATTATGTTTTCTTAAATTATGAGGAAATTCTCATCTTTTGGATAATGGGTATTACTTACGTGATACTCCATGAGTAGATTATGTTACCTTTGCCTTTTCACCATGCACTTAATGCTTTTGCTTGTGCGTTTTGAGTTCAACCTTTTGATATTGGATTTAAGCGTTCCATAATATCCTTTCGTTAAATGCAACTATGTTTTCTGCAGAGTTTGTTATGTCTACAAATTCAAAGAATCCTACATCTTCTTCGGTTGACAATAGAGTGGGTCCTGACTTTTTTGGGTTTTTCACTACCCAAGTTGTTGAATTATTGTCTAGAGATGAAGGTAAAGATGAAGTTCCTTTGCCCTTATCACATTCGATTTCACATTTAGCTAATGAGGTTCGTGAAGGAAAGAGGTCAACTAAGAATAGCAAATCCAAAGAGAATAATTGTGCCATCGGTTCCGAATCATTGTTCGATAATGGTGTAGGAGCTTTGCTCTCAGATTCAAAGCGAGAGAGTCTCAAATCTCTACTCCGACAAAGTGTTTTTACCCTTACTAAGGAGGTAGATGAGGTAATCATAAAACATGCTTCGAGTCTCCTAGTTTTATGTTGTATGACTTTTGATCTATTAATTTCATACGAGTTGATTAATATAACTTGAATTTAAATCATGGTCTAGTTATTAGGGAGGAAATGACATTGTTTAAAGATTATAATTGCCAAATGAATTATATTAATCTTTTAGGCTTTAATAAAGTATGAACATATTTTTTGATGGTGTTAAGTTCTCCATTGAGCTTTATGTTTGAGTTCCATGCTTGTTGTATTACCAATTGAATAATTTCATAATCAAGTAGATTGTTGTATATTGTAGACTTTTGGAAGTTTCATGTTTCGTTTGTGTTCATTGCAATTCCTTAAATAGATTTATTGTTTTTTTATAGAGTTCGTAAAACACGACTATTATTGAAAAAGTAAAAGTTGTTATTTTCATGTCTTTTTTAAGAATTAATCTTATTTGCTAGATAAAGTTACTAACTGGCTTAACGAAATATGAAAAAGTAGAATTTAAATTGTTGTTTTTTAATATTATAATGAAGATTAATAGTTGTTTGGCATTTGTAAAGAGTTTCTTGTGGTTTATGGTCTATAGTTATGATATAGAAAAGTCATGTTGTGAGAATCGTATATGTTGATATTTTTAATATCGTGCGTTTTTATCATTTACACATTTATGTCACGATTGGTATAACGGAATGAAATTTGATAGGAATGTAATGAGTTAAAGAATGGAATGATTATGAGAGAAATGAAACAAGTTTTTCCATTGATGTGTTTAATATGCAAAAGGAATAGAACCTAAAATGGACCATCATTTATCATTATTTTATAGAAAAAATAAATATTTATATTAATTTTATTTTCTTATTTATGATAATAATAAAATTATTTTATTTTTTAAAATAATTATTTTATTTTCTTATTTATGATAATAAGTGAATTATGTTTTTATATCCATATTAACTAGTACAAATATATCCTTATATATCCTTACATAAACTCCTAAGCATATGTGGTCGAATATAATTTTCTTACAATACATTTCAATTATAACATATGTGAATATATAAAAATAAAATAAGATCCTTGTAAACTATTTATAAATACATTTTTTGTGATTTTTATTTTTATATATGTATTTTTTTTAATTTTTATTTTAAAATAATTTATTTAATATAATTTAATCATGATCTAGAGTATATATTATATATTTATTTTTTATTATTATTTGTTAATTTATTTTTTGACAAATTGATTCTTAAAGATATGGAGATGAGAAAACCATGCATTAACTATGGAATGGCTGATCCCATGGAGATAGATTTTGCAGTTCTTGTTGGAATGATCATTCTTTTCTGAAAAATATATCAATCATGCGATTAAGAATAAGAGAATGACCATCTCATTCTCTTGTCATTCTATCCTACCAATCATGTCATTATATTTTACAAAAAATATTACTAATATGGTATTAAACGTACTAAATTATAACAAATTATAACGCTGCTAAAAACAACACCCATGGTACTTGCACTAAGGGATGGTTTTTATTTAAACGACATCATATGGTTTTATGTTGTATGAAGGTTGTCAAATAAAAGCAAAAGCCTCATCTAAACCAACTCAGCCGTATGTGGTACATTAGAAATGAGATGAGTGCGCGTAGGGGTCAACGTTTGAGGGATGATTGGTTATAAATTATCTGTTCACTTTTGACGAGATAATTTTTTTAGCTCAAAAATCTAACTCAAATCAATCCTCTTCAATATTATCAATATAATTAAATAATATTAATCAATAATTTTCATACATCACATCAACTTTAATTTACTATTCATCCGATGACATAATTTTAACTGTATATCACTTCCAATCACCTTTATTCTATCAAATTTAATCATAATATTTTAAATATTATTTAATACAAACTCAAAATTCCACTCAAACCTAACTAATCAACTTTTTCAAAGTTGATTTTGGTTATCTAACAAAACCAATCAAATCTAAAATAACTTATATTCAAATTAATCCTAAATGTGGGAGAAAGTTTTGATGTATAATAATTTTCATTATGTATATTTTTGTTCATTAGTTAGCACCGTTGATCTTCACACCTTTTTATCACTTTAATTTATTCGCTTTGCACTTTT